TTTATTTTCATATTGTATTAAATAGGAGTAGCTCCCCTTAGAAAAGAAAATCATTTTTGTTTTAGTTTGGATGTCTCCCCCCCCCCCCCTTTTCCTGGTAGTGTGACCCCCTGTTTGTTTATTTTAGCCCACAAGTCCCCCCATATAAAAGCTGCCGCATTGTCATGCCAGAGTCATTATTACCCAGCAGACCAGCAGTGAGACAACTTAACATCATATAGTCATATATTTCCTCCTACCTGGAGAGTGTCTTCCTAGTTGTTTCTTTTGTCTGCTAGTCCAGTCATTCGTTTTTAGTTCATTCCTGTGCTTTTAGAGCCATTTCCTCTAGTGCTGTGTGGGTTTCATAAACTTTCATTTCATTTATATATTTTCATTTTGATTTCAATTTTGGGTTTATTTCCTTTTGGTTTTTAACTTTTTTTGTTCTTGGATTTTGATCCAGATTGAGTTTTTTTTAAGTATTTGAGAAAAATTGTTTTTCTTATTTAAGGATAGAAGTGGTTTTGTTTTGTTTGAAGATTGTTACGAGACTAGATTAAATTTTTGGAGAAGTTTATTTTTGTTTCCTTGATTCCTTTTCTTTCTTTTTTTGTCCCAGTTTAAAAAAGCTAAATCGCGACATAATCATTGGAACCAGGTTTTTTTTCTCTAGTGATCCATTTTTCTACGTTACACTACCATACATGTAAATACTGGGCCATTTGGTAGCCTGAAGTGTCGGAGAAAAGTTGAAAGTGGTGCGTGAGAGTTCTGCCATTAAAATGATTCTAAACTTAGATTTCCATCCTTTTGAAAATGGCAGCCGCCTGTAGAGGGTATTAGTATATCCCAGCGTATTGAGAGTGCCTGTTACTGCCCCCTGTTGAACCGCAGGTGTCGGTAATTACCAACAGGCGTAGCCCAGCCAAAATAGTAACAGCCTGGTGTTGAGCGTGGCGTGGTGTGGAGCGGCGTGCGTGTCCGTGCAGACAACGGCACGGCTCAGATCATACTTACACTGCTGTGACCCCACAGTGAGGGTTCATTAAGGGTGCTAAATATATAACCAATAGTGGCAGGGCTGCCAATTTCAAAATCGCAGGAATTTCCAATTTACAGTATCAATCTAATTTGCTCTTTTTAACATTACTCAACCACACAACTTCACTACTAACGTGGGAAAAAAATTGGGCATTATCTTTTTATTCCAAGAACTGCCAGTGAAATGTTTCACTTATGCTCTCTTCGGCATCCTCTAGATCATCATCATGATGTTTAACCCTATCGTACCTGAATCCATCAAATTCCACACCCCTGATTCGGGGGATTTTAGCGGATTCAGGATACCTCCATATTGAAAAAGTTGGGGGATTTTGATGGATTCAGGACATGAAGCCTAGCGGTACTGCAAGACTTTGATGGATTCAGGATAGCTCCATATTGAGCAGTTGGGGGACTTTGATGGATTCAGGATCTCAACAGATTTACTCCCAGCTAACTGGTGGATTCTGTTGGACTCACTGGCCAGGGCAAAATTGATGGATTTTGGCAGATTCAGGATACTTTCTAGTAAATATACCCAAGGGGTTAGGGTTAAAGCATTGCATTTTGGTACCACTAAATCTGAAACCCCCGAAAATTGTGCAACATGTAGATTTTATTGCAGTCGAACTCCATATGCAACAGCTTTGAGAACCTCCGCTCTGTTTGTAGGTACCGGTAGCTAGTAGCTAGCTATTTTAGTTTCAATCATATGTCAATGCTTAAACCTATTTCCAGTTGTAAGCTACTCCTATCAGGGTTTACATGTACATGTACTTATGTGCATCTACCATACAATCTGTGCACTGACGACTGGTACTGGTAGAACAGATTACAATTCGGGCGATTCACAATGCAGTGCGCCACCAAGAGTTTGCCACAGAGAGTTCATTTTTCCCAGTGCATTGTGGGAGATGGTCGACACATTCACAGCGCGTGACATTTGAAATTGTTCGTTTTTCCGGTCAGTAGTTTCATAAACATATGATTCGAGTATATGTTTGCCCTTTTCTTTTCTTTGTATCAATATGGTAATTTTTGATAAGGCGGCAGAACGCTTTGCCTAAATCTATAACAAATTAGCTCAAATTGTCTACTGACACTCATTCAAATGGACCATGTTTTGTCGACCGTAAACTTGAAAAGTTGACTCCCCATGGCAAACTCTTGGTGGCGCACTGCATTGTGAATCGCCCGAATTGCACTCGCAATGCATGTGTTGCGGTGGCGTTTTCATAAAATTCGTTGAAATATAATTTTACAAAATCACACTTTGCGGGGAAAAGACCGACAGAAAAATCAGAATTTTGGAAATAAAATTGAAAAAGTCGGATTTCCGATTAAAATTGGAAAAGTTTCATCTCTAAGTGAAGTGGGGGTTTTGTTTTAAAAAACCTGTTTTGGGGCTAAAATTATGAATTTTTTGCAGCACTTAGGCACTGTGATTTAATATGCAAAATTCAAATGTTATTGTGCGTTTTTGTTTAACTAAGGCAGAGAGAAAACTTCATATTTTATGCCAGAAGAGTATTTTTGTTTATTTGTTTAATATATGTTTTAACTTGTAAATGTACCAAAGATGGGTGGACAAACTGTAACGTCACCAACCGTAACGTAACTAACCACAATTTTTGGCAATGCTTTAAACTGATGAGAGAAAATTGAGAAATGTTAAATTTGTCAAAACACTGGCCAGTCAGTAAGCAATTACACAAATACTATAATTTGTCTTAGCTAAATCCCATTTAAGGAAACTATTTTTATGCAAAGACGTGCACTTTAACCACTAGACTCATTTACCACCCAAAAATGCAAATAATTAATAAAAAAAAATATTTGTTCAAGTGCTAATAGTTCGGTGCAACCATTACTTAGGTATCATCTACTGTGAAGGATCGTTTTGACTTGGCTGTTTTAAGTTTTATGAACCTTCCAAAAGAAAACAAATTGAAAGGTTTGACTGGAAAAAAAAAAGAACCTGCTGGATACCTTTAAAAATGTCCTCAATAAAAAAAACCTGACAATCCCAAGTGCCTCATTAAAGCTGCAGTCCATCATTTGCAGCTATCCAAAAAGTAACTGACGTTATTATTGTTGAAAAGCATACCTGGTTTAAATATAGTAATGGGACTAAACTCCCTTTTGAAATTATTCTTTATGGCAAGCTGTCATTTTGAAGAATTCAATGGAAGAAGGCCATTTCCAACGATGCGTCTAAAGACGCATTCTTGAAAATTTGCATTAGTAGTTCGTTCTTAATTTGGCAAAGCGCGTAAGCGTTGACAGGACGCATTCGCGTGCGCGGTTGCTATAAATCATCCGTTCAGTGCGCGACATCACGTACAGCTATCGCCTGAATGAGAACGTGTCCCAGACGCTGAATTCGAGCACAATTCAAAACAAGACTCAGCAACTTTTGATTTGAAATAGAGATCCTAGAATATTGTTTTCTTGGAATATACAGCAATCACTGAGCTAAAACTTCATCAGGTTAGTTGTTCAGCACCCTTCTTCAGAATTTGAGCGCTTTTGTTGCTTCAAGCGAACATAACGTACAAATTACAAATGATGTGCTACCTTTAATACAAGGGAACATAATTATTATTATAAAGTTGACTGGTTGATTCTCATTGCAAAGCCATGTTTTATTCATCAGTGCCTTAACTCATCCGAGAATTTCTTCAAAAAACAAACAAAGATATCGACACAACGGCACTGGATATCTCAGACAGGTATGACCTTAGTACTACCTCAAGTCAAGGACATTGCTCTGCGACAAAAGGGGGAAAAAAGGCGTGGGTTTTTCAGAGAACTAAAGGCCAGGGCAAACAAATTCAATGCCGTCTCAAATCATCCCGACCAAGCAAGCCCTTCCCCCCCCCCCCCCTCTCCTACTGTCCCTGGCGCTTATTGCTTGTACACCAGCCAAGCGTGAAACGCAACCGCCAGCTGAAAATTACCACCGTGATGAACTGGGCAAGGATGGGACCTGACGGGGGCAGGTCGCGTACCGGCGCACACCGCTGATTGTACTACGTTGCAGTAACTGACCCAACCACAGGGCCTATACCTCTTGGTTATTAAGTTTAGAGCATACAAAATATGCATTCCTGCACGTTTCTGCTTTGTGACTGCAAAATTCCTTTTCTTCTTGCTTTCAAGTCAAGTGAAAAACAAAATACTGTCTTTTTTTCCATATGCAGTGCGATTTAATGAATGTATTACTTAATGACAGAGTCTTGTTGGAAACCAAGAAGAAAGAAATTTGGGCCTAAAGGGTTGCACTTTGTCTCGTGCTTACAAAACAACGAGCAAATGTCTAAATCATAACATTGCCATTAAAATTCATGTACCGGTAGTATGATACCCCTCATAAAAAAGGGCTCCGCACCCCTTCGCACCTCCCTACTTCCACACTCCTTTCCCTTCACGCAATGGTCCTTGCCCAGCGCTTTGCAAGAAATTAACACTCTGCATCGCAAATGTTAATCAATTATGATCCAGCAAATGTACATCCGTCTGGAAGTGATCACTGAAGGAAGCTTCCTTAGTTGAAGGAAATTGGAAAGGAGATTTGGGGGGGGGGGGAGAGATGATGCAAGAAAAAGCACAAAGGAGAGGACAGGAAACTGGATTTGTACAATGTTGCCTCAACCTAAGGATACTGAGTGAATAACTAATAAGGTGGCAGCTTTACATCTTTCCTTTCTTCCAGGAAGTGCTGTCATTGTCCATGTAGCTTTTGTTTCTTTGTTTTTAATTTTTGTTGAACAGAATAATGATATAAAAAAAACCACAAATTGCTCAAAATCTAAACTACGTTGTAAAGAGTGGAAATTGAAGAGGAGAGAGAATTAGCAAGGCTTTTTCCTGAGAAAAAAAAGAAAAAAATCAAAACTATTTTCATTTTATGTGTGTGAGTAAACGTGAGCAGACCAAGAGACAATACAAAAGCATGAAAGGTTTACGGTACTTACTTGGCCTGGGCTTCCGCCTGCATGAAGATGAACTCCCATTTCCTTGAGAACATTCGCTGCAGCTTGGCCAAGTTCTCCTGTCGGTCAAAGGTTAGACAGAGGTCAAATTAATCAAACGCTACATTATATTCCCCCGAAATCTAAACATGAATGTACGTAAATGTACTGGACTTAATTCATTTAGAGTTTTTTCACACGTATAATTGCAGTGGCGCATCGGGGGGGGGGGGGGGGGGGGGATTTGACCTTGGTGATATGTACCATATGTGGCCTATTTTTGAGTAGTATAATACGGGTGTAAGTGGCACCACCAACGTCAAAATAGTCCCCCCCCCAAAAAAAAAAACCCAACAATTCTTCGGTCAAAAATTTGGGCCAAATTTTTGTGAAAGTTTTATTAACTTCTACAAAATTTGGAAAAAAAAAATTGTGAGCCCCCCCCCCCAGGTGCGCTACTATATAATTGATCATTTTCACTACATGTACGTTCAAGTGCAATGATAGTACATGTATGTAAGCCATGAACTTGATGGATATGTGCAACTCATGGAGAGTTTGTTTTCAAAATACGATACATATCCATTGGGAAAAAAGTGACTAATTTGCAAATTTATGCAATTTTAAAGAATCAAAACAATGAAACAGCTGTTTCTAAACTTAATTTTTCGCTTGATTATATTCTTAAATTATGTTTAACTAAACAACCGTCGAAACTGACTTTGGGGAATCTGAAAGGTTTGGCATTCATTGCGTTTTGGAAAACACCTCTAATAGGCCTACATAATATTTTTTTAATATTCTGTTTTAGTCGGAAGCTTCAAAGGTGATCAGTAATTAGCTGGGCCCAACGCTAAGGGTTCAGGTTGACTGGTTGCACTTCAACCGGAAAAATTAAGAATACTTAAGCATGCATGGTCACAGAAGGGAAAGCAGTACTGTACATGCTCCCCTACATTCGGCTACAAAGATCTGCTAGAAGAGTGCATCCCCCTGTACCTTCCAGGCTGGGTTTTCCTCTAAGGGGCCTTGTCATAAGATGGAAATCACCACTGCCAACTTCCAGGGACATGAGATAAAAAGTGAACATTTCAAGCTCGCAAAGCTTGATACCTTAACTCGCTCTAGGTATTTTTACTAGGATGCAACCTCAATCCTGCAAAATCCTCCCACTGCCTCTATGTAAAAATTGAAAACAGCCTCAATCCTGCAAAATCCTCGGTGATTTCTTGAATGGGGTCCATGGAGAGGTGACCACTGCCTCAATCCTGCAAAATCCTCCAGCAATCACTGTCAATATGTGGAGGCAGAGCCAGTGACATCCTGGAGCAGTGTGTAGGATTTCGAGGTTAATCTAGGCCTAAATTTATGCACGGCTGATCATAACCGACACATGGTCTGGCCCAAGACCTTGACACAGTGCATCTTCCAAAAACAGCCACACATTTTCTGTGCCGCAATCCTGCAAAATCCTCCATTTTGCAAAGAGGATTTTGGAGGATTTGGGAAGGTTTTTCCAGCATGCAGTGTTTACTGAACTCAACCTACACGTATATCCCTCATTTTGTTGATTATCAACAGCAATTAATTTAGGAACATTTCTTGTCTCTCTCAATAAGACAATTTTTCTACAGAGTAAAACAAGACAATATTTCTAATATCAAGAAATTTAGGAAAATCGTTTTTGTAACAAACTCCCCATGCACCCACTCATAAACAAACAAAATGCAAATTTGGGATTTCAAAGCATATATTCGGGCTGCCAATTTTCGAAATGGTGAACGCATCTGAAATTGAGTGCATTTCAATCCAAACATTTTGCTGCGCTTAACAGTGATTTACATTCACGCTTGCATGAAGTTTATGAACCAGTCTCGACATTGAGATAGAAGACAATTTTGTGCATCATACATGTACACGGCGAAAATGGAAGAAAAAAAGAAGAAAAAGAAAACTATTTCAAGAACTTTTTACTATTGGAGAAGGACAAATCAGTCTTTTTGAAAAGAATTATTTCTGAATTCTGATATCAATATATGAGAGAAAATAGTAGTCGGCAGTGTATAATTTTTCCTTATGTGTCCCCCCCCCCCCCGAAAAAAAATGAACACCCCTTCTGGTTAACAAGAGCAGCAATATTTTGTAGATGTAACAGACATGTACATATAAAGGTTTCTCAAGAATAACAGTATCTCTTTCCTAATTTCTGAGCTGTACATTTGTACAACGTGTACCGGTACTTGTATGCACATTGTACCCACACCGTGATGTACATATGTACATATTCGTAAAATGATTGAACACAGATTCATGCCCGAACATGTACAAGCATGCAGTTTCACTTGTACTGACTTGGCAGAGGGCAGTATAACGATCTTGCTAATACTGTACCTCACCTGAATACATGTACATGTACTTGTATGTCAAGCACATGATAACTGCATGGCTACAGCAAGAGGGCAGTATTTAATGAATGCAAGATCCTTTAACCAAAAGAGTTTTGGCCACGTTTTATCACCACAAAACATGCAAAATGCTGACCAAAATGATCACACAATAGTAAGATCTTGGAGCTGTTAACGTGACCATTACAGAAAGCAAGTGTTGCCCACAAATTTGGGCCTTCAATGGGATGGATTTTGTACAGAAAGAACCTTTCAACGGTATTTCCCATTATTTTGAAATTAGGGTTTGCTCTGACTAGAGTAAATGGCTGTTAAGTAAAGGTTCTTGGGGTACATGTATGTTTAGTGAAGTAAATTTTAAAGTTTCGGTGGTCTTCAGCTGACAACTGAAAGTGAATTAGAAAACAAAACTTTCTTTTTCCCCTTTTTCGGCCTCATGCAAAAAAAAGAGGAACATGTTTTTTTTCTAATGTATATAAGGTCATCAAACGTCATCACAAAAAAGTAAATCCAGTCTAAATCAAGCTATTGAAATAAACTATATCACTCATTATTGTTTTCCTTTCGTACTCATGTCCTGAATTGTGATTGGCTCAGACATGAACATGTGGAGAACATTAACCAATTCAAATTAATGTATACAAAAGAAAAAAGCACTAGGTTTTGCATGTATACTAGTGAGAAGAATGCTGCCCTCTTGTGGTGACTTTCAGGTCTAGCCTCATGAATCTTTCAATAGACATTATGCATTGGGGTTGTCTCAGACATGTCAGAGGGCATTCTTTGTTATTTTAATGTCTTAACAATGAATGCACAAGGTGTTTACTCATGCCTAGCCTAGCGATACAAAACCATTGCCCCCTAACTCCACCTCAACGCATAATGTCTATAACAGATGGATCTTGCTAGCCTAACATGTGAGAGCATGTTCTTTTAAGGCAGTTGTCAAATTCATTATTTTGCAGATAAATTCTACCTTTATATCTGACTCAGAGTAACATTTTTAATATTAAATATTAAACAAGCCATGATAAACATACATTTTAGAAGGAAAAAATTGTTTTATATTTTCCATTGCAAAAGTCAGTGTCACATTAACACACCATGCAAGTTTGTAAACAATAAACCGTGGTCTATGGAACAGTCGGCACGTGTTTGCAAGATTGGCAATGCACAGGTAGTGGAATTTCTTTTCGCTGTCGCAAGACAGGTGCGAGTGTATTGTATGCCTTAGTATAATAAACAATGGTGTGTTACGTAACAATCCCCCAAAGCCTTCAGTTCACTCTCGGTCAAACCAGTCAACCTTGCCGTTACACAAGTTACCGTGACACAACCACTACCTACATCTCTCAAGATCATGTCTCAAGAAGACAACTCCTTGTTATCACAGGCCAAGTTCGGGCAAGGACCATTAGTCGACTAGTGGTTGATTTGTGACGTACAGTACCTTACGCCTGCGCACTAATAGCAATGTGCGAACGTCTCTAGTCGAACGCTGGTCAAAATGTCAATGCAAAACGTCTGGATCCTGGCTCCCTGCTGTACGTTATGAATGCGCGCGGCTATGGTTACCAGCGATGCAACCAGCCCCAGTAGGCTGGTTCCAAATAGTCGACTAGCGTAGTCAACCATCGTCGACTAGACAGAGTTCGGGCAAGCGTTAGTCGAACAATGGTTAACTATAGTCCTTGCGCGAACTTGCCCACAGCTGAGCGGAGGAAACCAAGAAATCTTGCGAGTCAGCTCAGGCCCTCACCAACTCCGCTTGCAAAAAAAAAAAGTTCCAAACCTAAAGAAAGAAGAAAACCAGCAGCAGTGCACACATTGCGAAAAAAACCTTTCGCTCATCGAGATGGCACTACAGAACATTGAAGCACTCGACATTGAAGAAGCCAAGAACAATCCTAAGGCAACCATCAAGGTGATAACGGAAGCCAGAAGCTGATCCGCATCACAGACCGGTCAGAGCTAGGTTGGGACGAGATCAAAGAATATGTCGCCAAAGACTTGGCTTCCAATTCCTCAGACGAGAAGCAAATCAAGAAGGCACAGAAAGCTGCCGCCACCGCCAAGAAACCAAAGCCGAAAAAGCGTCCCGGCAGCACCAAGACACCCAGAACCACGCCATTCTTGCCAAGGCCGCTGGCATCTTTACGTGCTGTTCCTTATCGTGAGAACAATTTTCACATTAATGAGGTTGCTTGGAAATCAAGAGGTGGTTGCAGCAAAGCATGTACAATATTCACGCTGCATAAACATGAAAAAGCCACCATAAGCCAGTCAGTAGATAGACACAACTTGGACTCATGGCACAAAACGAACATACCGGTACACCAAACTGGCAAGAACCTTTCCCTTTTGGGTCACCGACAAATTTCCTGACTTTTCCCTGATTTTAAGTGTTTTTCCAAATTCTCTGAGTTTCCCTGACTGGAAAAATGGAAACTCATTTTCGAGTTTTTCCCTGATTAACAGGGAGGCTGGGAACCCTACACATGTATTTTCTGACACATCTCGATATCAGAATATGTTTTTTGGTCTCACTTCCTAGAAAACCTTTCAAGGGAGTGCGACAAGAAACTTTTCTTGAATTAAGAAAGTTTCCTGATTTTAAGAAAACCACAGTGTACGCTCTCATGGCCACACCCATATGGTCATGCCCACACAAATATTCATATGATACTGCCTAGCGAGTTGCGCCTTGTCATGGTGGAGACCCTTGTGCGTTCCCGTGACCCAGAGAGCTATGTCGGCTGGGGGCCATGTCCCCCCTGGCAGCTCCAAGCAAGCCTGACAGGTCGAAGGGTAGGAACCAGACCAATTGCAACTCAAACGTCTTCTTGGCAGCAGGAGGAGACAGTCCATCTGGGGCAGACGTCTATTGTATCAGGCTTTCTGGCCCAACTGGGCCAACTGGCAGGCGGAAGAACCTCGGTCAACGGCTGGCAGTTTCCAGGCATAGTTAGTTTGCCACTGCGGGGCAGCCCATCATCCTTCTAGTCGTCCTGCTTCGGCAGTCCACTAGATAACCACACCTGTAACCATGCCGATGTGGTCCAGCCCACATAAAAGGGGTGTGCATCTGAACCGGGTACCCGACTACCTGACCGCTGATGTCAGGAACTGGTTCCAGATGGGATCGGGTACCCGTAACCAACTTTACAAGTTACTTAGTAACTTTTCTGACAATGAAAACTTAAGCTTTTGAACGCCATTTGTGGGGAATCTTCAAAATGAAAACCAGGCTACATGGAAAACCAGAACCGATTTCACGTTTACGGTATGTGCATTTTTACGTGTGACAGATGACGCTCACGAAAAATACAGTTTACACCGTAAAGCTATAAAGCCCTTCCAGGATTTGAATTTTGGGGTTGGTTTCTTTTACTGGTACCCGGTACCTGTGGTTTACTTCAATAGGGTACCAGGTTCCTGTACTACCCGTAAATGCACACCATCACCACATAACCACACCTACGGCCACACCTACATATGGACTAATTCGGCGGACACAAATTCAAAGCCATTTTGTAGGTGGAACTCTACATGCCGCATGCGTTCTTAAAGACAAGGCGCGCTCGCATTATGGCTAACCCTACTGGTCCAAGGAGCGCGAGTCTGGTTCAACGCACCTCAGAAATGGCATCTACCTGTAACTAATGGTCGCCGTAATAGGCCGTGTCCGAAACGGGCTTCCAGAGCTACGGCTACGTCTATTGTCAGCGCGTCCCCGTGTATTTTCAATGGGCGCAGACCTAGACCTAGCTCTAGACAGCTGATTCGGATGCAGCCTTAGTCTATATATACTCACCGCTTCGTAGTCTGCCAGTTCCAGCCTGGACTTGTTTTGCATAGTTCGTTTGCACAGATAAACAGCTAGAAAAGGAAACAAGAAAAAAGAAAACATATGAATGAAAAATGCCTATTAAAATATTCAAACAAAAGCTAAATAACTAGACCTACATCAAATTTGTTCGAGCACACACACTTTGTGACTTTATTTTAAATTTTGAATCAATAAGAACCATGCGCAGATGCAATACAAGGTGAAGGCCATACAATTTGAAGAAACTTAACCAAGTATTGAGATGTAGTGTGTGGAACTCGTTAAAATGTGTCTCGACTATCGAATATCCAACAAATTAACCCTAACTCCCTACTAAGTTTACTAAATAAAGAACCACGTCCGTCAAAATCCATCACTCACTGTGCTTCACATACATAACATAATGAAATCCAACGCTGAGGTGCTGGTTGATTTGGATGGACTTGGTATGTCTTATATACCCAATTTCATGAAACTCATTGTATCTCACAAATTTTCATTTCACAAAATGCGTCAGAAGTGCGACGCCTCGTATATGTATTTATAGCACAACATGGTGTATGTTGTATGTATTTATTTAGCGTACAGCAATTAGTCGTCCGATACTCAGCACTCGTGGGATCTCCTTTCAAAAAATTTGTAAAACGTAAAAGGTAAAACAAAATGGCGGACGTGTGATGCAGTTTTAAAGGAAAACAAGCTCTCAGTGGACTGAATAGCTACTTTGAAATTTCAACTGCAATATTCCAGGCTAATTCATATTTTATGCATATTCCATTTACAACTTTACACACATTGTATTGGTATTATAGTCTTGTTTATGTATTCTTATGGCATCAAACTGGCTAAGAAAAGGACGCTTCTTATTTTGTGATGACCACTAGACACATCGTAACTTGCGTCGTCGTCAAGGAACTTACGTGTTCAACACATTGCAAGTTTCGTGAATGGATCGTACAACGCATCATGAGTTGCGACGTGTTACACGTCGTAACTCGGGTTGCGACATGTCACACTGCTTCGTGAAATCAGGTGCAGCAGTACTGGATGCTAGGCAAAATTCATCGAATTCCCCAGCAGTACTTCCAGCGTTGCGGCCCAAGTCCATCATACTGGTGGTACTCCATCAAAATTTAGTCAAACCAGGCCAGCACGACCATGTCCCCCAAAATCCACCAACATGGGAGGGGGGGGGGGATGCATTTTGACGAAGTTGGTACGGTTACGGTTAAAGTGGAAAATAATACTGTGTGAGAGTATCTCTGAATGACCTAAATGAGCGATTCAGTACTGCGCAGCTTCTGTGTGGGTTTTATCACGGTTCTACTCCTTTTTTTTGCTTGAAAATTTTGCAGCCAAAACGGTGGAATCAAAATCGATTGCCGCGATGTTGGAGCTGTCCACGTCTATGCGGATACCTATATGTACTCGTAATTGGTCATTGTAATGTACATGTATGGACGCTTGATTACTGCTCAAAGTGACTAGATGTGATTGTATTTACTCCCTAGGGAGTTTGAGTTCTGACAGATGCAAGAATGGCTACACAAAGCCCTTCTACCGATGTTGGGGGAAGTGCTTTGATTGCGTGAAGTAAAAACACTATATAAATGCCGATATTATTGAATTTTGTTTTCTCAACGAGGAGCTCAGTAGGGGGCAGTCTTTTAGATGCTCCATCCATCAACTCTAACTATAAGCAGAACCAGTTATTTTTCTTCTGTTCTTTCTTTTTAACTTTTGGCTCCTGTCAAAATTGACTGCTGCTTTGAAAATGCCACGGAGTCAAGATACTGGATACCACCGGGTGGCCTTGCACTTTTCACTGGTGTATAACCGTCTGTTTGGCCACACATATTTTTTTTGTTTTGATAGCATTAACCATTGGTATCGTAATGGTGAGTGCGTTTTCGCTACAATTTCCACTGTTGACATAACTTAATGTCACCGTGCGTGCGTGCCAGGGTGAAGACATTTTTGTTCGCAGAATGTGGTCCAATCCCACTGTTCTACAGTTGTTGGACTGTGCAGGGCTTTAAATTGTTTCAGTACTTAAAATCAGTGTGTATTACAGAGCTCACAGTGTAGAGAGTGGAATTTTTTCCACTTTTGAGAATGAAACTTAATTTCTATGAGGTGTAATAAAATAAAAACCACATGGTATATTTTGGGGAAGAAGTACAAATTCACTGTTCTTTGGTGTTGGCTGATTGTGACTGCAAGTTTGCATCAGATGCAACTCACACAATACTGGTATATGCCCAATAAATCATCATTTAGGGTGAGAATATCAATTGAAAATGTCCCATTAACCCTAACCCTCCTTAACCATCCTCAATCCTCCAGGATTTGGAGGATTGTGAAGGATTGAGGCTGAATGGCAAAAAGTGTTGATTGATTTTGGAGGATGCGTTGTGTTGAGTTCATAGGCTGTACCCTGCATTGTTTATATATGTTCAGCCATGTGTTTAATAGCTCCATTGTTCAGCCATGCATAATTGAGCCCTGCATTATGCTCGATATTATCCGTACTGCTTTTGAATGTCAAATAGCACTGCCTCAACCCATTAACAGTGATTGTTGGAGGACTTTGAAGGATTAATACAATGGTCAACCCTCTACTTAACAAATACAAGAAAAAAAAACGGATGGTTTTGGAGGATTGAGGCTGTATCAAATTTTGACATGGTGGTATTGGAGGATTGTATCAAATTTTGACATGGTGGTAATTGGAGGATTTTGCAGGATTGAGGATGGTTTCAAGGATTTAAGTCACTGGAGGCAGTGCTATGGCTCTGCTGGAATCCTGCACTTCTTATCGTCATTCTGTGGTTACATTTATAGTTTTTAAAAGTTGAACAAAAAAATTGACTGGAGTGGGGTTTGAACCTGCGACCCCTGGATTGCCGTTCCGACGCTCTACCAACTGAGCTATCCAGCTCTATGCTGGCAGAAGGGCTCAAATTACCCAGGTGCACGTGTAATTTTTTCAATGTGCACGTACATGTAGCTCCACCTAGCATTTGAATTGTTTCTCTTCAGGCAATTGTGAATGAGTCCAAATGGTGCATGTAACTTTTTGGAGGTGCATGTAACTTTTCAATTTGCACACACTGGTGGACCTACATGTAGGATTTTTTTTTTTTCAAATCTAAGGCCTGGTTGGCAGTTCCCCATTTTTGTCAATGCCTTTGTTCAAGGGGCGCTAGTAAGAAGCCATAAACCTGTATATGCCATGTAGCCAGAGATCACGCCGGAAGTCACGATTACAATGTAGCAAGGCTGCAAACCTGTGAAATAGCAAGCGGGAATCACTACAGCGACAGCACAAAGTTTTGCATTCACTTTGTATCGGAATCCCACCGCTGCCACCACACCAGTAAGGACAGGGATTTCTCCGACATACAATAACTCGGACTGCATACCAACTTGTCAGACAAAGGAGAGATTTTTAATGCATTAAAGGCAAGACGCACCTTGAGAAGATGGAGACCGGAAATGGGGACGGCGCGAATTGCTGAGGACTCATGAGGGCGCAATCGCCACTACTGGCGTTCGCTTGTACCCCCCGCCCTGCAAACAGGACGCTGGTAAGGGCTGATGAGCTTCACAGAATCTTGTGAAGGAAGTACAGATTGACTTTCACATGTAGCTAGCGCGCGCTACGCATGATGGGCACCGGAAGCTAGTTTGTGCGACGCGTTCTACGTCACAGGTCACGCAAATCTATCCAATGAGAGCTAAAATTACGTCAGCCCTTACCAGCATCCTGTTTGCAGGGCGGTGGGTACGAGCAAACTACTGGCGTAGTTATAGGATTTATGGATACCTATAACCAAAATGTCTTGCCAACATGTGAAATACAATAACCCTTTGCTCAGAATTATCTGCTCCAATTTGCATGGGTTCTTTGCTCACAGTAACCAGAGCTGTGAAATATGTTCCAAAAGAAAACTCCTCTCACGTTTTTTTTTTTTAGAAATTAGTTCTATTTTGGTCGAGATGAACTTGTTTTCACCTTGGCTACTCATCATTTAACTCTTCATTTTGCCACTGTATCATAATGTGTCCGGCCCAGCATGCCATAGGCAGTGCAATGAGGGTCACACAAGGTTCAAGATCACAGATACAGGAAGTAAGAATCATCAGGGCGGCTGGGATGATGACGCTAGGGACAGGGTGGGGCGAAGGGGGAGGGGTGGTGAGGAGGGTACAAACATGGCTCAAAGGTCAACCATAATCGCAGAAACTGAACTATACAGAAAACACAGTGTCGCCGGGAACGACAGCTTTTCCAAAAGCAACCAAGACAAAAACAGGACAAATATTGCGTGGAATTATTATCAGAGGGGATATTATGGTCAGATTATGACTGATTTTCCGACCAATTACCATAGTTTTCCGAGCAAAAGCATGTCAAAAAATGTGTGTTCTTAATAGTGCGTACTAAATAGGTTACGAAATATGAAATGACACTTTACTGGCATGAGGCCAACATGTCTTGCGGGAGTTCATTTTGTCTGAGAAGATTTTGTCAGATAGTTTTACACGACACCCTTGTCCCAAACGTTTACCCGTTGGGAAATGGTTACCAAAATGCCAGGGTTTGACCCGGATCCCGACGCAAAGACTTATTTGGTAGAAGTGCGAGAGGGCCTTCACAGTCAACCTACCATAGTCAGTATTTTCGGGTTCCCAACAGTTTGACGGCCAAAAGTAGGGCGTTTGAAACCTGTAGAACGTGTTGTCGTCCTTGAGCGTGAGGACGTGGTCGGTGATCGGGAAGAAGTAGCCGTTGGCAGCCAGCAGTGACCCCAGATGAATGGCATTGCCTGTGGCCAAAACAAGAGGACAAATTGAGTAGAGTTTTTGGTTAGTCCTTGAAATATGTATGTCTATACTTCTTGGCAACAACTGCCTTTATACAGCAATATAAGCCCTCAAGTAAGTACATGTCAAGTACAGGAATATGTGGACGCCTCAAAATATCCTTTGAAAAAAATTGACGGGATTGGCATTTCTGCCTCCATCCTCCTGATATCTTCCATATACCGGAAGGGCACGGATGAATCAGTTGTTACAGTTGCACATAAGATTAGTATCACAGGGGACTAGTGAATGAACGCAAGATCTTTCCTCCAACCTCCCCCCCCCCCCCAAACGCCACCCCCCTCTTTCCCCTCCCCCCTCCCCCCCCCCCCCCCAAGGCATTGACTGTACAGCTCGCAATGGCTGACATTTGGGCAACCGACGCCATCTCTACTGGCATTAAGTCATAAAAATGACTCACTGTATTCTGCCGGTACAACTTTTCTGCACTGAAAACATGTAAAGGCGTGCAATGAGAACAGGCCTGCATATGCCTAACAGCATGCATGCATGCATTAAACATGTTCACGTACCCATTAAAGATTGAGGTGCATATGTGCAATTTCATTGACTCATTACAAAACAGTCAACTGCCCGTACATGTAGACATGAAAACACAAGATTTCCATGAAATGATATATGTACATGTACACGTTCCTCACCAAAAATGCACCAAAATACCCTTGAAAATGGCACAATGAAAATTTAAAATGAGTTTAAATGGGACACGCGAGTGCATTTCAAGGATTGCATTAAAACAATCACATCATGAGCCCTTTAAAGCAATGTTTTATTACTCAATTTTTTTTCTGAAACATGTAGCTACTAATCTAATCAATTCCACTTCTTTCATCTAGGGGGAAGACTTAACTTTTGCGATTTACTTCACACAAAAATACATTTCACCACTTATTTAAACAAAAATAATGTATACATCTGACATGTCTGATGATAAAAGCAGTGTTATCTTTCAATTTTTAATTGCCCTAAAAAAGTTGTCCACTTCCTATTTTAGCAAGAAAACCATAACCTGACTTTATGGATTTTTCCTATCATTTTTAAGCTGAGTTTTGTTGAATTATGGCATGAAATTGTATTAAATCTAATACCTCCTCTCCTGCCTTCAAAATGAAATAGTCACTTTCCAGAATTTGCGGGTGATATCTGCATGTACGTACACATGCACGTCATCCAGAGATGACGCAAATCTGAACAGTCAACGGCAATGGCGATATTCGGAATTATTTACTGTGCCATTTTTTACTAATCCGCTAAAACTATTGAAGATACTCTTTGCGTGAAGGAGCATAATGATATCATCACATTAATTACAGGTATCAAGGGCAGACTATATTAGACAATATCCACGGCTTAAGCCAGAGGGTATTGAACCTATCCTATAGACCACCAACCGACCAAATTAATTAGTCAATGCAGATGTCTATGCACTCAACCGAGGTAATATCTAATGTAGATAGCTGAATGGCTTTTCCCGACGTTGCTCTATTCACACGCATGGAGCTGACGCACATGTACGTGCACAATTTATGGCATGCTGTATCTCACTTCCCTGCATTGTGGAGACTGACGGTTGACCAATCGCACTGAGCCAATCTTCATTCATGCCCCTGGCGTCATAAATTTGACCAAAAAATAAAAAAGAAACGATTTTCGCATTTGGCATGGCCACTGCTCATAACTGCCAGCGGACGGCAGTTGTCCGGCAAGAGTAAAATCCATAACGCAGTGGCTGGTCATTGGCCTCGTCTGTAATAGTAAACAATAGAGTGAGTGCATGGTTGGGGGGATCCTTATGCTAGCGGTCAAAAGGTCATGTGCCAGAGACTGTTAAAGGGAATATTTATCATTTGCTTTTGCTGTAATTTTCAGAAATGGATGGAATTGGGGGGTTGGAAATATATAGCAAATATAGTTAAACTGACTTTTTTGAGGTTTTGGGTTCGAAAATGCTATAAAAACCAAGAAAAACAATCATTTTCCTGTAGTCTGGCTCCCTGACTCCATATAAGAAGAAACAGAGCAGTTTACATACATTGGGGAATTGTAAGGTCAGGGAACCAGTCTAGCTGGCTTGTACCCTTTCATAGGTGTGTAATCGATTGCAAACAAGTGCGATGGTCAATTGGGGCCAGTATTTGAAAAAAAGCCAGTTTTTTCCAACGCTGGTCGGCCGACCAGCGTTGGAAATTGATACAAAAATACTACTTTTCTTGAAAATGACAGTATACCAGGTGCCATGATTTTACAGGATGCTTTACACTGTCATTCACTAACAGTCCAGCAAGGTATTTCAAAATGATTTGGTAGTTTTATTTTTTGATGTTTGCAAATGTTGTATTTTCCCTTTAAAGGGAATGTACCGGTACATCATTGGCTTTTGCTGTAATTTTCAGAAATGAACTATTTGAGGGGTTAGTGTAATAGATCAAATATTGTTACACTGACATGTTTGAAGTTTTGTGCTAAAAAATGCTGGAAAAAGCAAGAAAAACAAAAATGTTCGAGTAGTCTGGTTCCCTGATTCCACTAAAGATTAATTTGATCAATTTATAGATGCCGGAAAATTGTGAGGTAAGGGAACCAGTCTAGCTGGCCTGCACCCGTTCATGAACATGTAACTAATAGCAAACAAAACTTGGACTGGAAAAAAATGGTAAATTTGGAGCAGTAGTTGAAAAACAGTTTTGGAAACCACCATTGGAAATTTATACAAAAATACCACTTTTCTTGAAAATGACTTCATTTCTGGTGCCATAATTTTGTAGGATGCTTTAGACTGTCATTTGTACCAACATCCTAGTAAGGTATTTCGTAAAAATTTGGTAGTTTAAATTTTTGATGTTTGCAAATGTTGTATATTCCCTTTAATGTTAAGAAATCCGCAAATCAGATTATGACAGGGCCACTGACATTGAGTACAGGATTCTGAATACAGGAATTCATGGCCGCTATAAAAACCCTCAGAAACTGGCATAAATTTTCATCAGCATGCGAACGATGTACCAGCAACTAATAGAACACGTAGGTGCTAGTATTGGTAAATGATGCAATGTACATAGAGCTTAAAATGCGGGTAGACTTGGCAATTAAAACTGAGCATGAAAAATTCTGTATCAATTCCTTTCCTGACAGGGATCGGATCTCAAACAAATAAGGAACAAATTCATGCATGTAGAAAATTAACATACGTGTCTCAATCAATGTATGCCTCAAAATGGAAATCACTTTTCTGAATGGTGTCAGTCCTTTTTTGTACAACTAACAATTTTTTTTTTTTAAATAACGCACTAAAATACGCTAATTTTTGCACCATTTCATTTTAGCCACCATTACGGGTGCAACTGCAATTTGTTTTAATTCAGATTTCTATTTTTGCCAACCGACCGAACCTACTTCGGAGGCAAAGGCAAAAATAAATGAGAACCATAGAAATAGAAAGGGACACCCTGATCCTAAGAAAATGTAAAATGAATGCTTAAGATACATGTATAGTAACAGTTCAAACAGGCGAAGCTTGCAACAATTATCAATATTCATCATTTACAATCTCAGTCAAATATCTGAAAGATTTAAAAAAACCATCACTGAAAATGGCTGCTCGGAAGCTCATATTACTACTACACTCATCATGTACAATTCTCACAAAGAGCAAGAGAAAAGAATGCGGCTCAACTCGCATAAGCACTCAATTAACATTTTACCTATTTTGTAAGAATTTCATCTGGGGGAAAAAAAAGATGAAGAAATAACAAAAGCCACATTGCAGAGGTCAATTGAAAGTTCAAGCTACTACCCGCATGTAACCTGATCAGTTCTATTCCCCCCTTGGTGCCCTTGCTCGTCCGATCTGGCAATGCCGTGCTCATCAGTTACAAACGCGGTGACACTAAGTGCGGCGCTGCATGGACGCATTGCAGGGCTAACAGAGAGATAGAGAGAGGGGCTCTGGGTTTTATTCATGCGGGGGTTGTGGGTCTGTTACGCAGTGCAACGCAGTCTCAAACACCGCGAGGCAGCATGCTGCATGTACATTAACATGTACATATACACGCCATGTACGGATATGAACTGCAAATCACACCAACAGGTTTCTTCATCTTATGACGACCACTGTATCATTTTGTTGCTTTTACTTTTTCTTTTTTTATCTTCAAAATTTCATCTTTGGCATCTTTGTCCCCAGGTCTTGCAGATGGCAGATAGTGTACTGGCTGTTCCACACCTTGTCTTACACTGAACAAGAATCCCTGATAATAATGAGAGTAAAATGAGGGGGGGGGGGGCTAGGGGCGCTAAAAAGCCAGTACGTGGGTGGGTCCCATTGATCTCTTGTGTCTTGCTGATTTTCCTTGCATACTGGTTAAATTGTGTCTCTCTTTTTATTTTAATCAAATGCCTCATCTCTGAGCCTTGAGGCCCTGTCACACTGTTGCGACTAGAGCTAACGTGTGCCCGACGTTTTTGGAAATTTGGGTGTACGTTCGTGTAAGTTGTCATTCTTTCGTGACACGCTTGGCATAAGTTGTATTCGTTAGCAGTTCGTAGGGGTTAGCAGAGGTGTGCTGGGGTCTAGGACAATTTTTGAACATGTTCACAATTTTGAGCGGGCGACAACGTAGTGATCAATACGCTATGTATACGTTGAGCATTCGCTGTGTGAACGCTTCGCGCGTTGGGTGTAGGTTGCTTCTTCGTCAGCTGTACACATATACGTCCAACCCAAGGAACTTTGTCATAGGAGGTCAGTGAAGGTGACGTGCAGATGTTGACTGTCTGAAGTGTGACGACGGGGACTTGGAGAGCGTATTTATGGGTCAGCAGAGACACGTCACGTGACCGGCTGCACCACGCTAGGCATACATTGGCCATTCGTTGCGAACATACAGCATTCGTTGGATGGACGCTATGCATGCGCTGTCATTCATTACTACGGACGCTAGTT